TGGAAATTTTTAGGTGGTTTCATTTTTCACAATTGTTTGCTTAAATTTTTTAGTCCTTGAATTTTTAAAAGTCTTTGGAATAGATTCCCCAAATTTGATTTCTGGGCTAAATAGAATAAACCAGGATTGTATACATGCAACTAAATTCCTTTTCAAAAAGATTATGTTAATTTCATTCCCTCTCAAGTATGAAAGTTACTCATTTTGATAAACTTCACCAGTATTGAGTATTTTCATGTTTATTAGCGTGATGTAATAAAATGTCATCCTGTTGGATTAATGTTAACAGTTAACAGTTAAGGAGAGAAATAATATGGAATCTGGAAAGTGAAATGTGTTCTTGAATTTCTGATACCTGCCAGTGCAGGAGCATAGTTTGTGTGTTGTTTTTATACTTTCCTAAGTCTATTCTAACTGTTGTTGTTGGGTGCTGTTGAGTTGCAACTGACCTTTAGCTGACCCTCCAGTGGGTTTTCAGAGGCAGTAAACCACATGGGAGGAGATTGCCTATCCTTCTCCCTTGGAGCATCTGGTAGAATATAGATAACTGATTATAGACTCTTTTCTGCAGAGCCTGGGTACTAGCCTCAGAGTCTTTCTCACACAACACTTTTTAAGAAACCGTTGCCAATTATTTAGCATAAGAGAAGAAACTCATATTCTATTCATTTCTTCATGTCCATTACTCTTGCTGTAAGTAGGACAATTTAGGCTCTAAGCTTCTTAGCCCATAAAGGCAAAGCTGTGAATAAGATCATTTCTTTGTTGACTTTTTAAAAATAATTCTTTATTAATGTCATTAACCCATTTGTATATTGGGATCATAAGTGGTCTTTATTAATTTATATAAGCTCTGTATGTACTCAGGAGTATGTAGTTGTTGTTATGTATCATCAAGTCGGAACGGGCTCAGAGCTGACGTTCAGTGGGTGGGTTTTCACAGGCAGTGACGCGCACCACAGAAGGCTGCCCAGCTTTCTCCTGCAGAGCAGCTGGTGGATCCAGACTGCCTCCCTGATGGATTGACAGTGTGACTCCTTACCACTGAACCACCGGAATTCCCTGATTAGGATATGACTTGGTTTTTATGGTTCTTTAAAAAGATGTTTAGCATATGCTTCATGGATAAATTGAAGGAACGACATATTTATAACAGTAGATTTATCCTTTTTATATTCACCTACTTGAGTTTTAGTTGATTATTTTATAAATCAGAAATAGAGGGAGTGGTGGCAGTAAGTCAAAACCAAAACCCAAACTGAATGCTGTTAAATCACTTCCAACTCAGAAATCTTACAGGACAGAGTGGAACTGCCCCATGGGATTTCTAAGACCATAAATCTTGTGGGAGCAGACTCATCTTTCCCTCACAGAGCATCTTATTGGTTTGAGCCATTGGCCCTTTGTTAGCAGCGAAGTATTTTAACCACTGCATCCCACAGACTGCTGTACTGATTCAAAAAAAGGACTATTAGATGGTCATAGACAATCCGTGGGTCTTTTCTCCACTCTCCGATAGGATGTATAACATCCTCGAAATAGTCTCAAAGTTTATGACCAAAAGAGTATGATACATGATGATAATATCTAATTAAAATCACCTCATTAGAAAAGTCAACTATGGCAGTAGGATTGGAGGAAGACTCATGAACAACCTGTGTTATGCAGAGGTCACAACCTTGCTTACTGAAAGCAAGGAAGATTTGAAATGCTTGCTGCAGAAGATCCAAGATTACTGTCTTCAGTATGGATTACATCTTAACATAGAAAAAACCAAAATCCTCACCACTGTACTGATAAGCAGCATCATGATAGATGGAGAAAAGATTGAAAATTGTCAACAATTTCATCTTACTTGGATCCAACTTCATCTTACTTGGATCCACAATCAATACCTTTGTTCACAAAATCAGAAGACTTACTGCATTGGGAAAGTTGGCTGTTGAGGACCTCTCCACAGTACTGAGAATCAGTGATGTCAGTTAAAAGACGAATGTGCACCTGATTCAGACCATGACAGTAAATAAGAATGACAAAAGAAGAATTGAGACTTTGGGGTTGTGATATTGGAAAAAGAGTACTGAATATATCCCATGGACTGCCAAAAGAGCAAACACGATGTCCTTGAAAAAGTACACCAGAGAGCTCTTAGCGGCAAGGATGGAGAGGCTTCAGCTCACATGGAACATGTTAGGAGGAGCTAGTCCTTGCAAAGAGGCGCCATCCCTGGACAGGTGTTGAGAAAGTGAAAAAAAGGAGGACCCTCAATGAGAGGATTGACAGACACAGTAA